GTTTATACGTTTTATAAAATCCAGCTGTATATCCATCCGGACCCAGAGCTTTTTCTGAATCAATTTTTTGAATAGCCTTCTCTGTTTCCTCTTCTGTTATTTCCTTGTTTAACTTTTCCCTTGTTTCATCATCCACTTTCTGAAATCTAAATTTGTCTATGTAGGTCGTTATATCTTCTTTACTTATGTGGTCTTTTGAGTATAATTGTTTATACTTCCTAAATTCTTCCATTATGTCTCTATCTGCAGAGATAACTTTGTCTCCCACTTTGATCTTCAAAATTTGTCTCGCTTGTTGTTTCTTCCGCACTTGTCTAGCTAACCACTTTCCCGGTTTGTTCGCATTCTCAAATGTTTGTTGTTTCAAAAATTTAATTTGCTTAGCTTGAAATTCCAATTCTAAATGATTTTTTGTTGTTTTAAAAGGTTCCCGCTTCTGGGTGACAATTGCTTCTTCTTCCCTTTCTCACTCTTCTCTACCTTCTCAGCCTCTCGCATCAATTTTTCATAGAAAGTCTTTGCTTTCTCTTCTGTAGTTAGCTAATATCGTTCTTCTTTATAAGTCACCATTATTCCCTCATGCCTTTCCCATCTATATCTAATTCCTCTCTTTTTCAATTCATCTGTGGGAAGGTAGTACTTTTTTCTCCTATTTAGCGTCATTTGTGGGTATTCTTTGAGAACCAGAATCTTCATTCCTTTGTATTGTAGTGGGTCCTTATTGGTCTTCCATAATACCTCATCTCTAATTTTCTTCTTTGTGAATTGGACTATCACATCTCTTGGTGTTTTATGTTTCCTAGAGAAGAATGGGGAAATCCGATATATTTGATCAATATCTTGCTCTAACTCATCCTCCTCAACTTCAAAACTTGTAGCTAAGAGATTTATAACTAATGATCTTATATCTTCCTTAGAATCTTCTTGAATATTTCTTAACCTTAATTGATATTCCATTTGTTTTGTAATGATTTTTCTTGTTCCAATTCCATTTTCTCCTTTTGTTTCTCCAGTATCTTAAATTTCTTCAAAATTGTAGTCTGTGTCTCATCTGTTTTTATTTTACCTGCTTTCAGGGTTTCCACCTCTCCAGCCAAATAATTCATTTCTTTCTTCAATTCCCCAAACTCCTTCATTTCATTTTCCATATCTTTGACATCATCACTTTTTAAATAATATTCTTCTTGTTTGTCTGTCATTTCCTTCTTCAGAGTGTCTTGCTTCTCAGAAAGTTTCTTTATTTCTTTCATTAAGTTATCCATACTTGCTCCAGTATCTAAGAAGCCTCTTCTTGCCTGGATACATAATTATTTTTCTTTGTCCACTTTCCCCTTCGCTGACATTTAAACCCAATCAATTTAACTATATAATTTATAACTACTAGGATTTAAACTTGATTAATCTTATATAAAATTGATCTGTCCAATAGATATTAATAAATTTGGGATAAATTTAAAATACTCTACCATTTCCTCCAAATAGATGATTTTAAACTTTTAACTTATATATTTAATTTATATATTAATCTGCCAAAATTTATTAAAGATAATAATTGAATTTTATTCTTACTAGTAAATCACTGTCAATAATTAATTAAGTTTTATTCCAATAAAGTCCTCTAATTAATTATAAACAGATTTCGCTATCTTTTTGTTCGTCTGCTTCTCATCCTGGTCTTTCTATACATCTAGTTCTCGTCCTTGTCCGATGCCCGTCTGTTTTTCTTCTTTGTCCGCTACTTGTCTGCTTTTTGTCCTTGTCCGCTGCCCGTCTACTTCTCATCCTTGTATTTAGTCAAATTTCTCAATCTTGCCTTAATAATTTTCCACTTTGTCTTTAAAAAGATTAAATCCTTGAGTACCTTCGTAACGTGGCTTCTCTATGGTTTCTCTATGGTCTTCTTCCTGTTTCCTGTTTCCTTTTTCCGCCCTTCATTTATTCTGCTTTTCAGCACTTCCGCCCTTATCCTCTCTCCTGCTGCTTCTCAGACTACAGTTCCCACCATGCAATTTTGCTGTTCTTCCTGCAATAGTCTATCACCGCCCCTTTATTTCGTCATGGGTATTATAGTCTTGAATTGGGTTTTATAGTCTGGAATTGATGCAAACATGCACATCTGCACACATGAAATCAAGCAGCAATCAGGATTAGGCTAGGGAAGACCTCCCCCATTATCCTCCCTGATGAATACGTGTTGTCTCTGTCTTCTCACACTCTATTCCCTCCTCATTGATGACGCAGACTGATGTGTTTCAGGTTGCATGCCTTTTGTGTTCAGCCACCAAGACTACGTAGTCAGTGTGTTCTGAACACAGAATGTAGTTTTGAGTATTTCCTTTTGGTTTAATTTTTTATTAAGATTTAGACAGTCTAGATCCCATTTTTCCTATCTATAAAACATAGTTCTTTGTGTTGTAATAAACTGTTTTTCACACTTTAAGGTAAGCCCTGCTGCTCATTGTTTTTAAGCTTAGGATTCCTCCAGTCACACTGTTTCCTCCTGCTGTGTGTGAGTAAGCTATTGTGTGATCTGTGCTTTATCTTTTAAATGCTTCCTAAGGTAGGTGGGATTTCCATTACATTAATCTCTCGAGGTAAATGAACAAGAATATTTGGGGTGGCTCTATGTTCTTAAAATCACTCAAACACTTGGGACAACCTTAATGTGAAAAGCCTTCTTCTAGGGAGAGTGGATGAAGTTGAAAAACAACAAGCTTTCTTTTCTATCATTTCAGGTCAGATTAGACTGGTCAATGGTTCGAGTCTCTGTTCTGGGAGAGTAGAAGTGTTTGGAGAGCAGCAGTGGAAAGTCATTTGTGATGATGGCTGGGATCTGGAGACTGCTGAATTTTTTTGTAGGACATTAAACTGTGGAGCAGCCTTATCAACCCCGAGAGGATCCCACTTTGGAAGAAAATATAATCCTGTCAAGTTATTCTATAATTCTTGCATTGTGAAAGGGGATTCTATTATAGTCTGTGATTTAAGGGATTGGGGACCTTGTGAATCTGGAGAAGCTGCTGGTGTGATTTGCTCAGGTAATGAGTCAGGGGGCCCTGTGACCAGGAAAGTTCACACACACTTACTACTGTAGCAGCATAGTGTCCTGTGGATTTTAAACCTTTCCTTTTATAATTTCCCTTTATTGAGGACTGTTTTCAGGCACTGCACAGGAAAGTTGCAAACTAACTAGAGGGCCTTCATCCATGTGACTTCTCTGGGCTCCATTTGGCCTCAGAATTTTGTTTTAGAAATAGTGAAAAGAGAGAGGGCCGGGGTGAAGTGTCCACAAAGAAACAGGAAGGGTGAGATTGGATTGTAAGACTGTAAGAGGTTTGTGTGTGTGTGTGTGTGTGTGTAAGATAAGGTATAGGGGCTTGGTATGACCTGAAAGAGCAAAAGAAAGGAAAAGCAATGGAGCAGGTGGACCTTGTACATTTGGATGTCAGGCAAAAGATAGTTTGGATGCGATCTTTGTAAGGGATGATCCTGAAATGGTTAGGAAAAAGTCCCCAAAATAACAGAGCATTCAAAAACATAAACAGTTCACTGAGCAGTCAGCTCACATCAAGCAAAAGGGAAAGTGTTGTGGCTGTAAAAGAATTCTGAGCTTAGGAGGCAAAGATAATAAGAATAAGACTTTATTTATATTCCACCCTATCTTCCCGAGGGGACTGAAGATGCAGAGTTCAATCCTTAAAGTTTCAAAAAGGTTTATTTAAAAATATAAGAACTACATTTCTTGATAGAAAAGAATTGGGTCTGAGCTTCTTTCAAACTCTATCTCTTCAGAGGCTTAAACAAGACCCTCCAAACACTACATCACTTCAAACACACAAAGCAGAGAGAGGTCCACTTGCAAAGGCAGAAAACGCAGAGGTCTTAAACAAAGGCATGCAACTTGAAAAGTATCCATTTTACATCACCAATCAGAATTAGAGCAGAAAGAGAGAGAGAACAAATAGAATGTCCAACTGACATTCAGGAGTCGTTGGGGGGGGGGAGAGGATTCCCTCAGCCTCTTCTAAAGCTAACTGTTCCTTATTGAGGACTGTAGACTTCAGCAGTGTGGAGTTGAATTCTAACAGAAAGGTAGGCATCTAGATATGTTTATCTTGGATGACAGATGACTAAGGGATCGTATGATAGCTATCACGAAATGTTAATAGAGATGCCATGTAGAGGTTGGAACCAGTCTGTCTGCTGCTCCTGGATTGGAAGATGAAGGAATTAATTCATCATAACAACATCAGCTATTTGGTACTCACTAGGGCTGGGTAACCACGGAAAAATTTGTTTCTAAACTCAATTCGTTTTTAGGGGGTTTTTGCGTTTCGTTTCTTAAAAGAATTCCAAAATTTTCCTTTAAAAAAGTTCGAAATATACGAAATTTCGTAAAATTACAAAACAATTACGAATCGATTTCGAACCAATTACGAATCGATTCGTTAATGGCGGATGCAATTGCGCAATATGCTAAAAAACCCTCCAAATGGGACAGGGGGAACTTCTGAAGCTTCCCTCTCCCTCTGTTGCTGACTGTTGGTGTGATAATTTATTTTTTATCACTGATAAAACAAACAACAATCCTAAAACTTGCACCAGACATACGGAAATAATTTCGAAACAATTACGAAACAATTACGAAACAATTACGAAACAATTACGAAACAATTACGAAATAAATTGAAAAAATTCGTTTCGATTTTTAATTACTCCTGCATGGCTCAATATCGGATTATAAGCTAATTTAAATACGAATTAATAACGAATTACGAAATTAACAAACGAAACCGCCCAGCCCTAGTACTCACCTCTCTTCACTATAAGAATTAGGCCACAATATAGACAAAATACATTTATTGAAATCATAAGACAAAGAGTTGGAAGAGAC